AGTATAGTCAATATACAATCCACATGTATTACTTGAATGACTGCTAACAAATTATAATGTTAAAAAATAGATTTATAATTCTGAGCTGCAAAATTAGTTTTTGCAGTCCCATGTACATGAACCAGGAAGCTTCATGTTATTATTTTGTCCTGCTAACTCTTGTAATTACTGCATCCATTTGTTTGCATAAGGCCTTTGGAAGGAAAATTTAGGTTTGCCAAATTTCGAAGTGTTAACAAACCTGTGTAAGCAATGATACAAACTGTCTGGAAAAGTGAACAGTCTTTAAAAGATTGTAAACATCGGGATGAAGTCTCAAAAGTGAATGGCCTGAATGGTAATTGATTTATAATGCATGGGTAGACCATGTTCTACATAATTATCCCCAATTAAAATGCATGCATTTGGCAGATGATTGGAAGTTGACTAGACATCCAACAAAGCCCAAGTTAAACTAGTCAAAACATCATTGCTTGGCTAAAAACAAATGTATTTTGCTACACACAAATATTTGACTCGTCAAACTTAGATTTTGCATGCATTGCCAGTTGGACAACTTTTGAATTGTGTGTATTTTTTTTATTTTTTCTAAATGTGCAATTGATTGGCAGCTATCAATCATCTTAAGAGGTAGATTCTCATTTGGTGTTACTATGGAAGCAGATAAGTTAAAAATAGTGATATCAAATCAGTTTGTGTGTTCCAATGCTGGCTTTGTTKGTTGTGAATGTTTTGCTGCAAAATGGGGGTTTTTGCTGTTTCAGAGTGACTTTGTCAGTTTTGTTCTAAAAAAACCCTTTGTTCTATAAAGGACTTAAATTGCAAGATTGCAAGCAATTAAATTTGTGCATTTTTTATTAAAATTTTKGTAATACAGCTCATCCAGAGCAGGGATTTCATTAAGAGGCAGCTTATGGTGGTATAGTGACTACCTATTTTACCTCTTACTTCTCTTTAAAAAAGTGTCAACTTACCCTATTTTTATGATATTAATTTTTAATAATTTTTCCAAAGATAATTTCCATGGAACTCAAGCAATGTTGTTTGATTATTTCCTCTGAGTTTTTAAAAGATAAAACTGTTGTTCTATTTGTCATGATCAAGTCATGTAAATTTTATCAAAAGTTCTCTCGTCTTCAAGTGCTTAAAAGCACTTAGTAATACATAGCAACCAACCATGACATAGGGTCAGGTGATCATCTGAGCCATCAGGTGATCCTGTCAGCTTTTTCCTCTTTGGGTAAATATAAACAGACTCACTGTAAATACAGCTTCAGAAATCCCCAAGAGAACAGCATTTTGTAAGTTTTGTAAACTGATAATGTTACTTAAAAGTTCAGCTAATTTTGTACTTTATAAGATGATGTTTTTCTTTGTTTATAGTAGAGTAGTTTTTAGTTTAAATTCATTGATGTAGTCATTCATTGACATAATCTTTGCTTCCTTTTTATGTTCATTAACATTTACAATTGTTTTAAKCTTTTCAAACTTCAAAACATCTATTTTTCTTTTAATCTTTCTTCATGTTTTTCTTTGTTTATAGCTGTACAGTAGTTTTAAGTTTGAATTCATTGATGTTTTAGTCATTCATTAACTTAATCTTTGCTTTCTTTTCATGCCTCAACTTTTACAATTGTTTTAAGCTTTTCATACTTCAAACATGGATTTTTCTTTTAATCTTTTTTTGTGTTCAATTGTTGTAAAAACTGATAATCTAGCTTATAGTTTTAAAACATCTAATTTGCATGTATTTATTCAAGTCTAGAGTCTTTTTCTAAGATAAACAATACATAATAACTGTTTTCAATTTGAACTTTWTTCATTTTAACTTAAAATCCTTTTCTTAAAACTTTATGAACATTTAATAAATTTTCTAAAATAATTTTTCATTAACTTGGTCTTGTTTTGRCTTTCTTCTAGTAAATGATTGTAAAAAGAGATCCCTATCTTGATAAAAAGTTTTGTTTTGTTTTCTATTTCTAAGGTAATTTCATACTTCCTCTTGATTTTATCATTCATCTTTTTTCCAAGCATAAATGATTTTAAACATCTCTAGATAATGATAATTATTATCTAAAAATGTTAATTATATAATTTCTATCATGATRTTTTTGTGAAAATTTAGTAATTGTTTATAGAAACATAAAAAAATACTAAAAAAATATTATAGTTTTATATTCAAACTAACAATTATTTTAATACTTAATACTTTAAAATTTCCTTCTTTAAAATTTCCTTCTTAATTTCCTTCTTGATTCAATACAAATTTATATCYTAATCAGTATCAGGTATAGTTTACAAATTTATCCTGCTCCACTCCATCCAATAATTCCCATATRTGACCTCTTTTGTCCAATAATATTAGTGGACAGGTTTGATAATGAGCCTCTTGTCCAACATGGAAACAACACCATGGTATGAAAGCAACTTTCCCTGGAAGTACTTCTTTAATGCTTACCAAGCAATCAACACCCAAAAACTAGCAAGCACCTTACCAAGGCATGTTGCAAAATATTAATACTTCATCAATAATTTATGAATAATTTAACAGTAATTTATTAATAAGTTATTAATGATTTATTGATAATTTATTGGTGATTTGTTAATGATCATTTATTTTTATTAATGATTTATTAATAATCRTTTATTCTTTTATTAATGATTTATTAAYAATTTSTTAATTRATTTATGAGTTCAYATAACYTATCCATGAAGCACTACATTTTGTAGAAGTTGGTCTCAGGGGAGTAGAAAAGGGAATTTGTAAGTGCAAACAAATTAAAAGTGCAGTTTCCAATATATTGAATTGCATTTGAAGGATACTTTGCAGGAAATGCCATTTTATAAACTTCAATGGAATAATAATTCTCTGTATACTTCATTGGATGTTATTTATTCCTCGGTTTCATGTTACAGTATGTCATTGCCGSRATGTTGGATGATGGTWACAAAGTATTCCCCATTGTTTCGCTTTTTCGGTCATCCAACATGGCAGCGATTGCATTGTTCTTTAATTCTTGAGGAAKTCTTSATCATGTCRGTTGAAACCCAAGAATTCARTGTTTGTGATCTAACTACATTTATGCGAACAGTGTTTGTAGAATAATCTATGTATGTCCAAACGAGAGATATATTTCTCTGGATATGTGTCTAATTTGCACATCTATTCTTCAGAAAAGGGAAAAAGAAAATTATTAACACAGAAGAAGTCAAAGAAAACAAGCCATATTTGGAAGAGGTTTATTTAACTTGTACAATCATGAATAAAACAGAAATCCTGGACGTATTAGCAAAACCTGAAGGAATAGACTACAATGAATGGATAGCAACACACAGTAAGAGAGAGACATCATTTGAATTTTATGGAGTTTTGATGTCTGGAGTGAGTAGAGCAGCAAACTGGTAAAGTAATACATACAATGTTGTTTTTTTTGTTTAGCTTTAGGTCACTTCAATACWATTAATCTTCTTTATGGATGTATAAGTGAAGTATGTACAGCGACAACTTGTCCAATGATGTCTGCWCCAGGTGGACTGTAAGTAACCATAATAAAAAGCAATACAAATTTATATCTACTGTATTTTTGTTTTATTTTATACTAATTCTTGTAATATGAAGTGATCGTACATGTACTTTTAAAACCGTGCAACTGTACTAACTAAATAGTGCTGTTTAGTTGTATTTAGTAAATCATGCATGTGGTACGCAAATTAAATTACACAACTGTAAATTGATACAAATGAAGCATTCATTACCGTCTTGCTTCAGGTCCACTTTCAGTACAAATTAGTACTACTTAGATTTTGTACAGTTGCACGGTTTAAGTTCGATCACTCTACAAGAATTAGTATAAAACAACACTTTAACGCAAGTGTTTCATGGTTTTATTGTTCTCACTCTACAGATTGATTGAGGTTAATTTGAATCTATCTTTGCTTTATCTTTGCAGACCATATTCATGGCAAGGCGAGGAAAAAGGCAAAAAGACAAAAACATTAATCCCAGCACCGCAATATATAGACTATGTAATGACATATGTAGAAAAACATGTCCAGGACAATACTGTYTTYCCTTCAAAATTTGGTAAGTACTGACATTGACACAAATGCTCTATGGCATAAATTACGTCATAGTATGTTTCCATCGGGGACAAAGAAATTTGGGCCTATTAACATTCTTTCCGAAAGTAGAACTTTAKTGYATCGAGTTTTGATGTACATCATGTATCAAAGATTACTCATCTACATTTTATTTAATATGCCGTCACTCTGATCCTATCAKGCGACCATAATTATCGTTAAACAATAGAATGTTTTGGTGTGACGTWATTATGCGATAGGGCAATTGATTGTCCCACACGTTATCACGCTCAGTGGTAGCGTTAAGAGATAGCACAGGAACTCCATTCATGCAGACCTCATTCAATTATAGTCGAACCTTGGGTCAGCTTGGGGAATTCGTTTCGAATGCAAATTGAAGTACAAAGTACAGCATACATTGTTGCCTTAAGACGACTTCAGTAGTATACTAAATGTGCGTTCAACGCCAGGCGGATCATGGCGGATTGCGGATCGGACAAATTAGCCTAATTAGATGCGACAAAACAATGGAACAAGGTAAACGGCGGATCATGATCCGCCGTAGAGTGATGTTGTATGTTGCTAGGGTGACCGCATGCAAATGAGGCAAAAGTGATAGGGGAAGGGTGGTCAAAACGAGCTGTAGGTGGCAATTCATTATCATAAAATTGTGGGCCACTTTTGTGTTGGTAAATTGTGGGCGATCTAATTATGCTGTGTTGGTAAATCAAGGAGGGTAATTATCATAAATTGTGGGATTCATATACCATGAAATTACTATTGTTCCTGAACAAATGGCTGCCTGGACCTGCCTGAATAAAACACAACATAAGTTATTCAAAGTCACGTGGTTTCTTGAGCGTGAAATCGCTTGCCTCATCATTTATGGAGTTGCTTTCTCATGTCAACATCGACTTATTTGTCGGCAATCTAAATATGCAATGTTGGTAAAATTTTATGTCAAGGTTCAACGATCGCATAAATTACTATCCAGTGAAGAAAAGGTTAATGATAACCTTTGTTCTGAGACAATAGGTCACCTGCTAAAGGAGTTTTCA